ATTTATTCCTTTCTGCATCGCGTTAATCTTAAATTCTAGGTTACTCTAGTTGGGCGTTTTTGTTTCCATGGACACTATGATCACATGGAATCAACCCAAAAACATGTTCAGTAACATTTTATTTTATTTTTTTATTAAATGATATACTGATATACAAAGACATACGTTAATGATGAAGGCTAAATGCAATAGTGTATGTGAAAGATAGTCTCAGTTTAATTTTTTTTTTTTTAAATCTACTTCTAAAACCAATTGCAGTCATGGGACGTCGTGGTCGAATGGTAGAGCTTACGGGTGCTAACCCGATTGTCTCGAGTTCGGATTCTAAATGAATAAACAGATCTGACCCCTTACAACTACTGTATCTGTAAGCATCGCGTTTTTTTTTAATTTCATCACCTTAAAGAGGTTGGATGGGTGTCGAGTGGTAATCACTGATTCCTCATCATCTTTTCACGTTCGTTCCCGAGACACTTGGGGCAGATGAAGTAGAGTTCACCTGTTTCAGAAACCTGAGCATATGAAGGGATGGTGTGGTCAGCACTATTCCCAGCTGCCTTTTTTGTTTTCTAACGTGAGTCAGATACCCGTCAGATCTAAGTGGATTTTTAGATACATTCTACTGACTTGAACCCGAATACGAACTCGAAACTAAACAGTCTAGCGCTCTACCGCTAGGCCACGCCGTCCCATAGGGCACTGGATTGTAAAGCTTTAAACCTCGAGTTCGATTCCAGTGCTTTAGCTAGGGGGCATTTACACAACTCCAATACACCCCTAAACACAGTCATGTATAGACGACTGATTATCATAACATAGTACTCACTTTCATTACTGAGCTGAACGTCATTTTAAAAAAAAAACACGAAATCTACTTCATCTGCCACGGTGATGCTATAATGGGTTAATTACGTAAGATATAACCAGTCCTAAATATACATCATATGATCTAATTAGGATATATGTGCGGGGATAATATATAATGTCATCCACAATTCACTGTATATAAACAAAATAAAACTAGGTTGAAATTGGTGGCATTTTATTAGCATAAGAAATATGCATAAGTGAAAGGTCACAGTTAAAATGAACATATGAAAATGTCATACATCACATTAAATCGTATACATATAAGAATCATCACATTTTATATGCGATATTTTTAAAGTGTGTGTTGAAATGCATACCCCACAATGAAGCCAAGATATTAACAAACACACACACATCCACACGAACACACACACATTTATACGTTATATAATGAAAAATTGTCCTTTAGATAGAACGAGTGCGCTAAAACAAGAATTGTATAGTTGATGTGATTTTGTTTATCTTAGTCTCTCCACGCCATATGTTTGTATCTTTCTATTCTTGAAGTTAAGGATTTATTGATCTTATGGCGTAGCCTAGGTCACTTATGAATGAGTTGAAATAAAAATCGCGTTTAATTACTTTGATTAATACAATGTTTGACTTGAAATAGAAGTTAAGTATTATTACTTGGACCTATTCTTGTTTTTGAATGATCTATAGATCTTATGGCATAGCCTAGGTCACTAATGTCTGACTTGAAATACAAGTCACGTATTATGGCTTGGCCTACAAGTCAGGTATTTCATGACTTGGGCGAGGCTTCACGAATACTATCAGTCAATAAAATTCTCTAATCACACAACTGAACTCTACAACATCTGTTATTCCGAATTCTTGAAAAAAAAATTTCATAGATTAAAAAGTAGTATACCATAATTTCAAAAATAATATAACTATCAAATTAAATACAATAAATTACTGCTAAACTAACCCCTTTTTCTAAAGACACATTGTAACGCCTAGAGAAAAAAAAAATTCCATTCGCTGTAACGAAATTGTGTATTGGTAACACTCAAACTCAGATTTTAGTAACTATCGTTTATTAATTCAAAGCAAAAACTTGATGGAATTTCCTTTCATTCCCCTCACGTCCTCATTATTCAATCGCCAATGCATCTTGTTGACTGCAAGATTCCATGATCATTTCCGGTTTCGAAATCATAGACGGAAATTTATTTTTAGGCTTAATTTTTTAAAATCAAAAACATGTTGTTTTTTTGTTTCTTTTTTTTTTATAAAACGTTTTTATTTTTTACTTTTTATTTCACTTGTTCACAATAGAAATATCGATAAATCTGTGCTTTAAAAACAAAAAAAAAACTTTGTTTTGGTTTGGTTTAGTTTTTAAACCTGAGCGAATTGTTAAAGTACACGGCCTTTTTTATATTTCAGTCTTTTTCTATAATGCAGTGTTTGTTTATCTGTTTATCACAATTCTACGGCATATTATACTCCACGCAGAGGTTCTTCCAGCAAGCATCTATTGCCCCCCTCCCCCCCCCCCACGACAAATGTCTGCAGGTCTACCAAAACTTCTCTCCAAAAAATGTCAACCCCCCCCCCACCACCCCCCGGGGAGAAAAAAGTTTGAAATAAACACTGACTCCTCGTAGACTACAGTGGCTGAGTTATGTTGTTTTTAGCGCAATTTCCATTCTGGAGAATTGCGTTTATTAACTCGTCATTTCTGGGAATGGATGGATGAATGTATGGATGTATGAATGTGTGTCCGGGCTTTAAGTCGTATCTCCTCCTCAACGAAGCAATACCGATGACTAGTTCCAAAAACAATTATGTTAAGCAAGTTACGAGAAAGAACATAGGCCATAAAAATTCCGGGTTTCTTTCATGGATTTCCAGGAAAAGCCAAAAAACCTCGAAAAAATGCAGTTTTTGGCCTATATCTCGGCAACCAGACCATTTAGCGACTTGAAACATGTACCAATCGATTCCTGCCATAATTTAGAACAATATTGCCGAAGAAAGTTTTCAAAAATATCCTCTCGTTCGGTCACAAATTTTTAAATTACATAAACACCTACAAACCGATCGTTCTTCTAGCTTGAACGCACCCCAGCATTATACGTCAGAGCTATTTTTAGATAACATAAGGAAATTGCGCATAAATGTCACTAGAATTTTTTAATTAACTTGTTTTTCTTACGATAAATAAAATTTTAATTGTCCTCCCCTAAAAAATGCATAACTTTTACGACAACTTTTCTATATCCCTCCCCTTCCCCCTACCCCCCCCCCCCCACACACAGGTTCATTCACAGGGTATAATATGCCACCCCGTCCACCCCCATTTCTTCTGCTACATCCTTACTGTTTCATTCATTATTCTACCTCACGCTCAAGTAAAATCACGTAATGTAACACACGGGTTATATATAGTAACATGACAAGAGTTAAAAAACATTGGCAGTGCATGGCGAGTTTTTATGAACACGTGTTAAGGCATGCCCCTCCCCCTCCTCTTTCCTCTCCCCAGGGTCGTCTTAGTAACTCACCCCTGACGTCACTTCCGGTGAGCTGTTCTACTGACCTCAGCAGGCTGATGATCTTTTACCGAATGTCAACAAACAGAACGTTTGATTAGATTGGTATTCAAGAAAATCATTATATGTTGATTCATAGTGGGTGATAGTGGAAAAATTTTTGGGATGGGTGTGGGGGGGGGGGGGGAAGATGTGGCATGGGTGTAGATAGACAGAGGAAATACAGTAAATTGTTCAACGACTTTGATAAACCAATCACAATAACAACGTGAGTTTGTACCTTAAAGCACATTCTTGACCCAATAGAAGCGGCTTACCGTAAACCTTATGAAAACCTAGCAGAAAATAGTACATACCGTAAACCTTCTAACGATCTAGCAGAAAATGTGTTTCATACAGAAAACATTATAAAAAATTATCAAAACATAGTATATACCTTAAGCCTTTTAACAATATTAGAACCTGTATTATACAGTAAAACTTCTAACCAAGTAGTAGAAATTATGTTTTAAATTACATTTTCCAGTACAAAACTGTACTAAATTAGTGACAAGTGCAAATTTGAAAAATACATCAAACAACAAAATTCAAACAAAGATTTTAAAAGTTGCATGAGGATTTTTTGGTACATGGTTTAACAACACTTTGGTCAGCGGATAACAAAAGAATGGAACACTCACGCCAATCAAAGTTTATAATTGCACATTACGAAAATTGCTTTTCAACACAGCCAACAGTTTGTCTACATTCATAGATATAATTAACAACTTTTAACCATCATTATTTGAGTGTTCTGTGTGTCGGACTGTACATATAAGAGTATATCCAACATCGCTGATTTCCGGAAATGAACGAAGAGCCTCGTTTCAAAACGCGATTTTTCGTTACGATAAAAAAAATAAAAATAAAATAAGATAAACAAAGAAGGATCAGTCACTTATAGAACTTCCATCACATCCTAGCTTTTTATGTTCTAGATTTTAAAAAAAAAGAAATTCAAATTGGATTGATTTCTTTGACTCGAAAGACGATTGGATGATGCATCTTGAAGATCCAAGCAGGATCTAGGTAGATGGTAAAAACCCGTCAGATGTTTGTCAAGTATCAGGCCCTCTCTCTCTCCCTACACAGCTGATGGATCCAAGGAACACGACGTTACCGACACATCTTGGAATCAGCTGTCGCAGAAGCGGCCGAAAGGAAACCTTAGTATTCCTATCCCACGAGGGGCTCCGGCCCTGAATAATTTTAGAGTTTTGTCTTGATAGATTGGTCTGCGTCTTCATCCAACAAGCTTTATCTGCTATGGGTTTTGAACTGGGGATTTGACTTTTGTTCTGCCATCCGACCACGCTGACTCTTAATTAGTAGCACTTTGTCTTAATGTGTTTGTTTTTTTCGTTTCTCGGAACATAGACCATGCAACGCTTTCGAAGTCAACTCTTAAGAAAGTCCTACAGTTGGAGTTTAAGCCAACGCATGGTTTGTCTGAAGATCTTTCGAGTTGTCTCTCATCAGACGTCTTATCGCACGTCATTTCCGGGCATAACTACGTCATTCCCTGGCATAAATACGTCATTCCCCACATTCTGACGTCAGCTTCTTTCGGATCGCATTTCCAACCAATCACACATCCGCCCCCAGCATCGCCCGCGATTCGCCTTTACACGTGATGACGTCAGAGACTTTGTTGCCCTCTACTTCCGTCACCTTTCGACCAATCATCTTGTAGCACGGGGACTTGGTGGAGCTGTTCTCACTTCTGCTGATGGAAAGATTTACCTGTGAGGGAAAAAACAAAACAGGTAGATTTAGACGCGAAGAAAAATAAGAATTTAAAATGAGACGTTGACAATTGACACGTTTTGAAGATGTAATTTTATAATAATTGTAATTAATAAATCTGCAAATAACTCAACAAATTGATTTTTAGAAAATGCTGGCTGTCAAATTAATAATTAAACGCACTCAGTTTTATCACGCTTCAGAAAATAAAATATTTTAAAATTATCTTCAGGCTATTTTTTTTTTAAATAATAACTAATGGTAGAGCCCCCACATATAATTTATCATCAAAATATTCCCTTTCGTATGAAATAAAAGAAAAAAATCCCATTTTAAATTGGAAAAAAATAATTCTATTTCATAACAGCAAAAAATTTCCATTTCATATTGAATTAAAATTTTCATTTGAAAGCAAATATGCGAAATAGTAATACTACTACTTCCTAACTGGTTTTTGTTTTATAAAAACCATTTTCACATTATTTTAAATCAAATTACTTAAAGATTTTTCTAGAAACGAAATAGGTTAAGCTGTTAAAAGATCGTTCACACTTAGTTACTCAGAGATACCGAATGTTTTTTTTTAATTCTGCAGAAGGGAGGTGGGAGGGAGCAGTGTTTCTTTCAGGCTTTTTTTCCCCCGGTGAGGCACATGAAAATTTCGGAGGGGGGGGGGTGGTTGACTAAATGACTAAATTTTCTGGGTGGAAGGACACTGATAAAAGTATATATTTTCTATACGAATTCTATTTCGCTTAGTGGGGGGGGGGGGGGGGGGGGGGGCGGTAGACACGGTATACATTTCTCCCCCCTCCCCTCCCTTCCCCGAAGAGATGCATGAAAGAAACTGTGAGAGGGAGGCTGGTTTGTTTTTGTACTCTAGCTGACGTCAGAAGTAGCTTCATGAAATGCTAAAAAAAAATTAACTTAATTTTCTTTTTTAATTCTGGTTAAAATTTCAATATGTAGGCCATTCCAGACTTCTTTACGTGCGTAAATGTTATTACGATTTCAATTTAATTGATTATTGAAATGCCGTGGTATTTATACGACGTATGAAATCCTAACTCAATAACAAATATGATGAATAAATAAATGCTAATTTTAAGATGATTAAACTGTTTGATGATCGAGTTCACGATTTTGACCAGGATGTGGATACGATTTGGATATCAAGTGGATAACAGGATGTGGATACCATGTGGAAATCTAGTGGATAACAGGATGTGGATACCATGTGGATACCATGTGTATATCAAGTGAATAACAGGATGTGGATACCATGTGGATATCAAGTGGATATCAAGTGGATAATAGGATGTGGATACAATGTGGATATCAAGTGGGTAACAGGATGTGGATACCATGTGGATATCAAGTGGATAACAGGATGTGGATACCATGTGGATACCATGTGGATATCAAGTGGATAATAGGATGTGGATACAATGTGGATATCAAGTGGGTAACAGGATGTGGATACCATGTGGATATCAAGTGGATAACAGGATGTGGATACCATGTGGATACCATGTGGATATCAAGTGGATAACATATTGATCTGACTGACCAATGGCAGCAACTCACGACAACATGGCGCGTTGTTAAGGACGCTTGCCATGTGTTTAGTTTATGTTGGGACTACAGTACCTACTCGTCGCATTGAAAATGTGCGACCGCATGCAATGCGAAACACGTCATAAGCGTAGATGCCCAGCACTCCATTAGTCTAATGTTAGACAAATTGTCAGCCCAGCGACGCATTGGCTCAAACGCCCAATAATACAGTACACAGCCAAAAATGTAGAAGCCCAATGCACGAAAATCAATTAGCCATAACAATTCGTTAATCCAATCATCAATTTGCCCAGCTATGCATTACTCAAATGCCCTACAATAAATTTTTCTTACAGGTTAAACAATTGATTTGCCCAACAATACACTAGCCATATAATCTATTAGCCCAACAATAGCCAAATAATCTATTTGCCCAACTATTCATAAGCCAAACAGTCTATTAACCAAATGTTAAGCAGCATATTAACACAACAATGTATTAGCCTAAATGTCCGAAAATTCATTAGCCCTGACATTTCATCAATAAAACCATCCTTCATTAGCCCAACAAGACTAATTAGCCCATCTATACATTAGCCCGAATGTCCAACCATCCATTAGCCCAATCATCCATTAGACCAAAAATTCGTAGGCTGGCCATACATAGCTCAAATATCTAACAATCCATTAGTCAATCAATCCATTACCAATTAAACAAAACAATTAAAACAGCCCACTAATACCATCCATGCACTCTGCCCCCTCCCCCCCCCCCCCCTGACTTACATTTCTCTGTTTCCTTGACCTCAGCTTTGGACATTGACATTTGACCATCCGAAGCAGAAACGTCTTGAAGCCTTTGTGCATAAAACAGTACAAGATGGGATTCTGGGTAGTAAATAAAATAGTAATCATCAACTAATAAGAGTAATTACTTTAATTAGAAATTGTATAAATCTATATACATCATATAAAACGTTTTTTTTTTTAAAAATACAACAGAATGTTACGACAATATTTATCAACTTTTTTCACAATGTAATGGACGAAATTTATTTATGTAAATAATTTTCCTGAACTCCCTTAAGATATGTTAGTTAAATTGCAAGTATATTTGAGGTTGGGATTACGCATCCGAGTCCCGTATGATGTCATTGAATCCATTCAGTTCTAACAATACCTGACTCAAGATGGGGAAATGTCAGCATAGGTCTCCGTTCAGGTGTGACAAACAAACTCACACGCACGCACACACACACACATACACACACGCACACGCACAAACACACACTCATACACGCACATGCACGCACACACACATACACACATACTCATACACACACGCACAAACACACGCACACACACATACACACACACTCATACACACACACATACACACGCACACACACACATATACACACACACACAAGCATCCCGCAGGCGACACCTACCTGCGCGCTGTTGGAATGACCCAGCAGCAGAGCCACAGGGTACAGGGAGATGAGGTCCAGGGAGCCGGTGACCTCAAAGTCCAGGCAGATGGTCAGGATGTGGTAGGGCAGCCAGCTGGCGGCGAACAACACCGACACGATGATCATCATCAGCGCCAGCCGCCGTCTTGCGATCAACACGTCGTCTTGGTTGTTCATGGAGTTCTGGGGGAGGGAGGGGGGGGGGATACAGGTGGGTTATGAGTAGGTAACAGGTGTGTCAGAAAATAAGGGAGGGGGGATACAGTCATAAAATAAGGGAGGGGGGATACAGGTAGGTTATGGGTAGGTAACAGGTGTGTCAGAAAATAAGGGAGGTGGGGGGATACAGGTGGAATATGAGTAGGTAACAGTTGTGACAGAAAATATGGGAGGGGGGGGGGGAGATACAGGTGGGTTATGAGTAGGTAACAGTTGTGTCAGAAAATAGGGGAGAGGGGGAGGAGATAGAGGTGGGTTATGAGTAGGTAACAGTTGTGTCAGAAAATAGGGGAGAGGGGGAGGAGATAGAGGTGGATTATGAGTAGGTAACAGTTGTGTCAGAAAATGGGGGAGGGGGGCAGGGTCAGAACATAGAGAGGTCATAGGTCAGAATATGTGGAGGTCGTAGGCAGTGGCGTAGCGAGGTCGGGTGTCACCCGGTGCGGCACTTAAAATGTCACCCCCCCCCCCCCCCCCCAGAAGCGTAGCGACCTTTCCCGGGGACAAACTTTCAAATTTTCGATTTGCCTCCCCCCCCTCAAACTTTCGATTTGCACCCCCCCCACAATTTTTTCTCTATATATTTTGTTATTTTTGCCTTGGTGTCACCCCTCCCCCCTAAATGGAGTCACCCGGTGCGGTCCGCAGCCCCCCCCCCCCTCGCTACGCCTCAGGTCGTAGGTCCAGAGTTTCTTTCAGGCATCTCTTCGGGGGAGGGGGGAAGGGGAGTCGCCCCCCCCCCTGAAGAAAGTCTACCGCCCCACAACCGAAATGGAATGTGTATAGAAAATGTATAATTTTTACAGTGTCGTCGTCCCCTCCACCATCCCGGAGAAAAAAAGTCTGGAAGAAACACTGCGTAGATCATAAGTCATACCGTGCGTAAGTAGTAGGTCTATAGAATATTGGTTTATTCTAAATTGTGGATCAGAAAATAGGTAGGTCAGAAGTAAAAAATACCGAGGTCTTAGTTCATAGGTCAGAAGAGGGTTAGGTCATAGTTCATAACATTGGAAGGAGCATAGGTAGGTCCCAATTGAGAAAACATGTAGGGACCAATGTCGGGGTGTTTAGTTCATAGGTCAGAATATGGGAAGGTTATAGGTCTCAAGTCTGACCAAATAAAAGGTTATAGGTCTCAGGTCAAGCCTTTTCTGTTACGTCACAACACGGGTTATATGTATCTCATATTTCTAAAAGACATATTGAGGTTAGACTTTAGAACATTGATGTAGTAAATAAATCAAAACGATGTGGGTATAAATTAAACGTTAGAACATGTGTTGATGATCTTGATCTGTTTAAAGGCAATTAGGTAATTAGTATTAATTAGTTATCATTGCTTTTAATTACTTCTGCCAGTAAACTTGTCAACTTGTCATTTTCAAAAAAAAATAATGTAAGAACATAATCTTTGTCAAGAACAAAAGAAAAATGAAGATTGTTCTTTTCACGACAGGTTAAGGTGGAACTTGAGATTTGTGGAAAATGCTTTCAACATTAATATTGATTAAAAGTATTAAATTGCGGTTTGTTAATTAGTTATTTTGTCGAAACAAAAAAAAAGTGAAACTGAGACCGTAATTTTTTATTTTATTTTTATTTTTTGCTTCCTGGTGTGTCTTAATTGCATGTTCAGAAGCCGGAACATCTCCCTCATCGTGAATTAATTATATTCAGCCCCACACACACCCACACCCACCCACACACCCGCACACACACTCGTATGTGAATATCTGAATAAATATACGTCTGCGTCTTTGAATTTACGCTAATGATTCTAGACTTGGGGGGGGGGGGGGTGTTTAGTCCAGTATTCGTACATGATTATTGACCACAAACACAACAGTAATGTACTGCTAGGTATCGTGCAGGATCTCTATAGAAAGCCTACCAAGGTTTCTGCCTGTGACAGAATCATGAATGGGACAGTTGGGGTGGGGGGGGGGGGTTGTAGAGCGATAGACTGATAAACCCTAAAGTCTCAAGCTTGGATCTCTAGTGCGTAGAATTTCCTTGAGAAAGTAAAGACTTGCTGGGCAATATACTGACTACACTATTCAATCTTATGGGACGGGATGGTCAAATGGTAGAGCATACAACTGCTAACCCAAAAGTCTCGAGTTCGAAACAAGGATCAAGTCCACACATCCATGATGAGTATCTGTAAAAGCGGCAGGGCACAGTGCCTCTTCATATACCGAGGTCTAAGAAATAGGTGAACTCTACTTCACTTGCCCCAATGGACCGTCAGGATCGAAAAAGGGAACGTTTATCCTTTCTTTTTATTGTGTTCACAACTTTAACTGCCGACAAGGGTAGCTAGGCATTCATGTTGGCACAAGTTCTAGATACGCAAGGGTAGCTAGGCACTCATCTTGGCACAAGTTCTAGACACGCAAGGGTAGCTAGGCATTCATCTAGGCACAAGTTCTAGATACGCAAGGGTAGCTAGGCATTCATGTTGGCACAAGTTCTAGATACACAAGGGTAGCTAGGCAGTTCGTTAAGTTCTAAACCTACCAACCACGTACCTGTCTCTGTAGGTTGCTATCGCGGGCCCAGAGGCGGACCCCTATGAGGGTGTAGAGGACGCCGAGAGCGCCCCCAGGCACGAGGTAGATGCAGACGACGATGGCGATGTCGTAGACCTGCCGGAGCTCGGGGCTGGGCCAGCTCTCCGTGCAGTAGACGTTGTTGTTGAAGTGTTCGTGGGAGATGACCTGGGGACGGGGTGGAGGGTGGGGTTAGTGACCGGATGGTTGTTTCAGTCTTATTGTCGGTTGTCTGGTTAGGGGACGGGGGTGGGGGTCACATTGGGGTCGGAGAATGGGGGTGAGTGACCGGAAGGTTTTTTCAGGCTTATTGTCTGTTCTCTGGGGGGGGGGGGGGGGTCACCTAGAGGGTGGAGGGTGGGGTCAGTGACCGGAAGTTGGGTAGTTTCAGTCCTATTGTGTGTTCTCTTGGGGAAGGGGGGCGGGGTCACCTAGAGGAACGGGTCGTGGATCAGTGACCGGATGTTAGGTTGTTTCAGGCTTATTGGGGGGGGGGGGGGGTGTGACTTTGGGTGGAGAGTGGGGGTCAATGACCGTAACTAGAGTTGTTTCAGTCTTATAGTGTGCCGTCTGGGGAGGGGAGGAATCACCTAGGGTGGGGGGGGGGCGGGGTCAGTGACAGAAATTTGTTGTTTCAGTCGTATTTTCTGTTGTATGGATGGGGGAGGGGAGATCTCAACTAGGGGGAGGAGTTTGGGGATCCGTGTCTATTTTCTGGGGTTGGGGGCCTCGTGGGGGGTGGAGGGTGGGGGGTCAATGACCGGAAGTTGAGTTGTTTCAGTCGTACTGGTTGTATGTCTCAGTCGGATAGTTATTTTTATGACTGAGTCTAACTCACAATTTTTAGCCCCTTTTCCCAGCTAGTTCAAACCTCACCTGGTTCACGAGCGCTACCGGCATGGCCACCACAGCTCCGGTCACCCACGTCATAACGATTAGGCGCCGGACCCGGCTGACCGTGAAGATCTGCCGGTTCCTCATCGGGTGCCGGATGGCGAAGTAGCGATCTAGGCTCATCAGGACGATGGTCAATATGCTGGCTACTAGGCACACTCCTGGGGGGAAAAAAAGTGTGGTGTATGTAATATGTAATATTGGTAGTAATGTTTCATTTAATTTTTTTTTTCATTGTCAAAATGAAGTAAAATTCATCTATTTCAGTAAATCGGCATGTATACAATTACTGTGGTCAGTTTTATAACAGGCCAACTTTATTTTCCTTAAGATGAGTCAGGTATACATCAGAGATGAGTGGAGTCAGGGACGTCCTACGAACTTGAGGGACGGAGTGGTCTAGCGGTAGAGAGCTGGACTGCTAACCCGTAAGTCTCGAGTTTAAATCCGGGTTCAAGTCAGTAGACCGTCACTGAGTCCACCCAACTCTGATGGGTACCTAACTCACGTTAGAGAAAGTAAGGCGGTTAACCACACTATCACTTCATATGCCGAGGTTACAGAAACAAGTGAACTCTACTTCACTTGCCCTATAGACCGTCAGGTTCGAAAAGGGAACTCGAGACTTTCGGCTTTGCAGTCAGGTGCGCTACAACCCAACCACGATGTCCTGTAATATTTTAGAACAACGATGTGTCGGCCACACCACTTAAACCCAGCTAGTTTAAGATGCAGTAAAGCAAGCTTAAAAACACCCCCGACAAAATGCTTTTGAACGCACCCAACAAACAGAAAGGAAATAAATATCAATTTTCTTTAGCAACACAAGAAAAATAAACCGGTAGTGATCTCCCCTAAACTTTCTCGAATATTCTTATATAAAACAACAGGGGATGGTAACTGGGGATATAGTTATGATTTTTAATCCATTTTAAATACTTAAACTTTTAAAAATAGAATAGAATCTCATAAAAAAAACATTGCGCACCAAGCAAACGCCGAATAAAAACGCGTATAATAGTGCGCAATATTATTAGTACTTTAAAAATTTACATTAGTTTTTTGAGAAATCGGAAGTAGCGTAAATTACTACTTCCAGTCAACGGAAATTACTCAAAATTTAACAGAAGGTAGAGAATTAGATCTTTTACTTACATGTGAAATTTCATTTATCTATCTGAAATAGTACTCAAGTTATAGGCTTTTGAAAAATTCAAAGTAGGAAAAGTACCACTTCCGGTTATCGGAAATCGCTCAAAAGTTGATACGGATCTACGATTTTGATAAAATACTTATATATGAAATTTCATCAACCTAGCTGTAACGGTACTCAAGTTATCGTGTTTACACACGGACAGACACACAGACACACACACACACAGACATACGGACAAGATTGCAAAATTATGTTTTTCCGTATCAGTGAGGTGTAAAACGTCGAGATTTGTAAAAATCTCGATTTTTTTTTTTGCACGATTACAATACTTTCTCTATACTACGTATATACGAGAAAGTAAAAATGTTAATACCCTTAGCAATCAACGCTTCTATTTGAAATAATGTAGCGAAAACTGTAGCTATTTTGTTGGTTTTTTGTGCATTTAAAAAAATTAAATGCACCAAACTAAACGATATATATATATATATATATATATATATATATATATATATATATATATATATATAGGCCCTATATATATATATATATATATGTGACCTAGTGTATTTGCATATCCTGCCCGCAGCGCCAAATGTAACGAGACTATTTGCCTGTAGTGCCAAATGTTAACGAGTTCTGCTCGACAACGCCAAATGTTACCGAGTCTAACCACTCATTCTACACAACATCGACCACAGTATAGATACTCGAAGATGCAGGTTCGCTATTGATCCTTTTATTACATGAATCAAAGAAATGCTTCACAATAATATAATGAATCAAAAGGAATGCTTCACAATAATAGTTTGAATCAACTGACTCCCAACAGTCCTCACTAGTCTTCATATAACTGAATACACATGTCTATCGTCCTTCTTAACACAATATAACCAACTTGATACTGCCACACAGACTGACTGATCGAGATAGAGAGAGACTGAGAGCTCAGCCGTCGCCTTCCTTATATCCCCTTCGTATCCGTAGTCGTATTCGGTTCTATCATAATCGTAATCGTAATCGATTCTAATCGTTGCATCAGAATGTTAATTACGCCGCTTCTGTCGTACAGTCCGATTTAATATAACATCTGCACTGTTTCGTCAGCCAAGTCGTGTCAAAGTTGACAGCGCTTGTCGTATCCTTCCAAACTACGCCGTGGCTTTATGATCGTTATCAGTTGGCTTATCAGTCCAACACCTGCACTATCGCGTTCTCAACAATAGTGACTAGTAACTAGGCCCACCCTAGTTACATATATATATATATATATATATATATATATATATATATATATATATATATATATATATATATATATTTATATACAATTTATTTTTTTACTAAGTTTTTTATTATTTTTTTTTAACACTATGAAAAAAAAACTATTTTTATTGCACTTTGCCAAAACTGTAGCTATTGTGTTACCTATAGTGCATTTAAAAGCTGGTGATTATAGAGTATTTTAAACTTTTTTTTAATTTTCTATTTAATAGTGTTTGTAAAGATATAAGTGTAAGCGGATACTAAATTTAGAAAAAACAATTAGTACCATAATTACTCTTTTTATTTTCTTCTCAAGTATGTCGAGATTTTCGTTAAAAACAGTTTCCTTATAACACGACCAATAACTCTCAACGACATTTATCTGCCCTTTGTTGTCGGATTTGAATACATCCATGAACACAGTTCATCAGACTGAAAGAGTGATCACAACAACATAACATTGTTATCTCCCCTTTTGTGATGGAAACTTTTTAAAATTAATTTTCTTTCCCTGACTAATTTAATATATTAGTAGATTAGGAATGAGAAATTCTGGTGTTATTTTCTAAAACTTTCCCTGGGAAGTTTGAAAGATATAGCTACAACAGTATGGGACAACAAATTTGACAACAAACGAAACCCAGTCTTCATATTGATAATAATGATTATGGTGATAAAGATGTTGTAAGGCAGCCTTCAAAAGATGATACATATAAAAGATGAACAATATAAAACATTACCTACATACAAGATGACCGTTATAAAAGATGACCCTTATAAAAAATAAACTATAAAATACCAGCTTTAATTAAACATCAAAGGACTTAATTAGTAAGTGTAGCAGTCTAACAAAAAACGCAATCAACACTTAATGTGCAGACTTCACAAAACACCCATTAACAGTTAAATTACAGCCTTTTCTGAAGACTTCTTCAAGCATTCAGCTTTATAAAAAAGAACAATTTACACAGAACGCGGCTAGGTAGGAAAATATGGATACTGACTAATTGGATTTAAATTATGTAAATACTGTATTGGCATAAACCTGGACAACACCCCCCCCTCCCTAAATAGAGGTTTAATTAAGGGAATGCTAATGACAAAAAGAAAAAAAACTTAGCTATAGGAAAACTCAAAATGGAACGGCGTGGTCGAATGGTTGAACATACGACAGCTACAATGAAAGTCTCGAGTTCGAATCCAGCTTCAAATCCAGTCTTCCCAGCTCACGATAGGAAAAGCAAAAGCGGCTGGGCTTAGTGCTGACTACCTAATCCTTTCATATGCCGAGTTCACAAGAACCAAATGAACTCTGTTTCACTTGCCCAACGGACCGTCAAGTTCGAAAAGGAAATTTACAGATACAGAAAGCGGAAACAAAATTATGTGATGAGTTCAATGACCTAAAGGATTAGGCTCTAATCTTAGTCAACATAGTCCAGCTACTTTAATCCGACATGTCTAGGGCTGTCAGGTGTTAATTAATCAGGACTAGCGACAAACGATGTTTTTTTAAATAAACCGGGAGTGATCTCCCCTAAACTTTCTCGAATATTCTTATATAAAATAACAGGGGATGGAAACTCGGGCTATAGACATGATTTTTAATCCATTTTAAATACTTAAAGTTTTAAAAATAGAATAAAATCTCGTAGACAAATTAATTGCACACCAAGTGAACGCAAATAAAAAAAGCGCATAATAGTGCGCAATATTATTAGTACTTTTAAAATTTACATTAGTTTTTTGAGAAATCGAAAGTAGCGTAAATTACTACTTCCAGTCAACGGAAATTACTCAAAATTTAACAGAAGGTAGAGAATTAGATCTTTTACTTACATGTGAAATTTCATTTATCTATCTGAAATAGTACTCAAGTTATAGGCTTTTAAAAAATTCAAAGTAGGAAAAGTATTACTTCCGGTTATCGGAAATCGCTCAAAAGTTGATACGGATCTACGATTTTGATAAAATACTTATATATGAAATTTCATCAACCTAGCTGTAACGGTACTCAAGTTATCGTGTTTACACACGGACAGACACACACACGGACAGACACACACACACACAGACATACGGACAAGATTGCAAAATTATGTTTTTCCGTATCAGTGAGGTGTAAAACGTCGAGATTTGTAAAAATCTCGATTTTTTTTTTTTGCACGATTACAATACTTTCTCTATACTACGTATATACGAGAAAGTAAAAAAGCGAAACTATTTTAATTTCCTTATCGGATTTTACCGGAAATTGTATCTGTAAAGACAACAGAGGTAATTTGGTTTTAATAAGACTTCAGATTCTTTAACTTGCCCGCAACGTATTTCAGAAACTGTTTCATAAGATAGTCAAAATTAAGCTATATAGCCACTGATCGCGTGCTACCAGATAGCCACTAAACATATGTTATAAGATAGCCACTAAACCTATGTTATAAGATAGCCACTAAACATATAGTCCTACTACCAGATAGCCTTTGAGCCTAAACCACCAGGTAGCCACTAAGCCTATGCTACCAGATAGCCACTGACTCCACCTAGCTCTAAAGGGTACCTAACTCAAGTTAGGGAATTAAAGGCCGCTTGGCATAGTGCTGATCACATTATCGCTTCTTAAGCCGAGGCGAAGAAACATGCACTTCATCTGCCCAATGGATCGCTAGGTCTAAAGAGGAATCTTTATTTTACTATGTATTTTTTAATTAGTACAAATCGATTAGCTTTCGTAGTCATTAG